ATTAACGATTTCAAAAGATATTAGTAGGAAGCGCGAAAGGCGGCTGTGCCGCTCCGGGCCATACATACACACACTAATTCGTACAATAATATATATTAATATATATACATATATATATATATATATATATATATATAAATTTGAATACGATTTTATTACATACAATAACTATATAATTTTTATCCTAAATAACTAATTTAAAATGTAATTAATTGTTACATCAAGCTAAAATGTCTTATTTTCAGATAATAATTTAAAAAAAAATGTTTAATTCATATTTTATTTCAATTTTTCATATTTCTTATCACTAAAGCCTGATAACATTTAACAATATAGTGTCAATAAAATAAAGTACAGTGCTATAGCTATAGGCATTCATAGGCTTCCCATGTTTGCAACAATAATCGAAAACATATTTTTTAAAGTGGGAAAAACCAAATTAAAATCACTTTGTATATTTTCGGTTTTCCGGAATGCGGAAATATTATATATATATATATATATATATATATATGCAAAAATTAAGAATTTGAATAAAGGCGATATTATAAAGCGTTCATAATAGTTTATTGACAAATTAAAAAAAACAAAAGTTATATGACTAAAAAACGCACAGCCTACGACAATTACAACATTCCCTTAAAATTATCTCTTCATCATAAACTTGCCTTTTGTAAAGAACACTCCAAAATAATATCTTAACGCACCTCCACTCTCATACCCCAACCCACGCAGAACATACACAAACTCCCTCGTGAGTATGTATATATATGATATAATATATATATATATATATATATATATATAATACGTATTTTTAAACTATATAGTATTAATTTTTTTATTTAACTGCTTTCTCCTAAAATTTTCTTAATTTTAGATTATTTCATAATTAATTAGTTTAATTAACAATGAAAATTATTTTTCACTTCCAAATGATCTGAATATGCATATATATATATATATATATATATATATATATATATATACACATATATATATATACATATGTATATTCTGAATATTATTTAAAACTAATAGAAAATAATTTTCATTATTAATTAAACTAATAATTATGAAATAATCTCAAAATAAAAGCAATGCTTAAAGATTCACGGGTTCAAATGCCCACCACCATTATCTCAAAAACAAATATAATTAGGAATTTTTTAACAACAATATTTGAAAGTTGAGGGCAAAAGACATAAAATCAGCAATGGCCTTAAATCGGGCGACATCGCTACCACGAGATAAACGGCCACATTGTCAATTTGTAACAACATTTTTTTTCTTGTTGTTTAATTTACGATTTCTAAATAATTATTTAAAGTATATTTAATCTTAAGTATATCTAATTGTTTTATCAAATATATTGTTATTTTTAAGTTAAATACAATAGTTTTTTAATGGGGTAAAAAGGATCACCTAAAGCTTTATTCTGGCCAGGTCAGAAGCATCGATAAACAAGTATAAGAAGTCAGAAGAATAAGAAATTTAAAACTAAGCAATTTTATAAAAGATAAATTAAATTGATAGTTATTCCAACTCTGATTATGGATTTATATGACAAAGTTACAACAAAGATGGTATGCCGTTTTTATTAAAAATGTGCCTATAAAATATCTATTTCAAACAGAAGTTGTATTTACTTTATTTGTAATAATTGTATTCCAATAAACAATAAATCTAGTAAAAATAAATAAATAAGAAATACTTACAAATGCAAGATTCTTTAAAAGTACATATTTAGATTATGAATTTTAATTTGTTGCTCAACCTAATAATTACATTGCATCGTATTGATTAAATAATATAGATATTGTTCTATAAAACCTCTTTAAAATTAAAAATAGGATGGTGAATCTTTTTGCCCCCTGTTCCTTTTTACCCGTATATGGGATAAAAAGAATCAGGTGGCAAATTTTTGAAAAATTGCAAAAGTATAGGGTTACAATGATGAATTAACTGAGAGTTTTACTGAACATAGTTAGATAGCTGTTTGTTTGGTATGTGTTATTTGTTTTGATGTAGTAATATTGGTTTTCACAGTATAATTACTAGAAGTCAGACCCTACCCTATGTTTAGATAAAAATAAATTAAATATTCATATTACATTTTATCATTAAATTCGACTAAGTCAAATCCGATTGTTTCCGATTAATTATATTTATTCATTCATTTTTGTATCCATAAGTCAGTCGGGATCAATAATAAAAATTATTTCAAGCTCATGTCTTTTAAGTCGAGCTTGAGTTTCGTTTTAAAACTTTTATCGTTTCGATAATATAGTGTTATAATTTTTGTGATATGAAAATTTATGCTCTATTATAATTTGTTTTTCTAATCCGTTTAATATTTTTCTATCAGTTTAGCCAATTTGTCAAATTTCCTATACCCAGGGGCAGCGCTAAGCGATGTGCTAAGTTAGCGTCGCATGTAGCGTAATGTACGATGGGACGCCACGTGAGGTGAATTTAAAAAATTATACTTCCTAAGGGGCTTTTCACACCCCACTACAAAAATTTGCGAAACATATATTGCTTTTGTTGCATACAAGTCTTATTTATATTTGCAAATTACATGTTATGGAATTTGCACAAAATATACTTTGGTTTTATAATTGCTTTGAAAGCGCTACAAAAATGCGTGTTGGAAAAAGTTATATTTTAGTTCTTGGTTATTTATTTATTTCACAATCTTTATATGATATTCGTTCATGCAGACTTTCTTAAATGGAAAAATAATCATACATATTGAGCTCATGAATACTTAACATAATGCCACTTATACAAGTTCTACCAACCAACACAATTTATAAAAATTTAATTTTTAGATTTATTTATATATAACTGTTTAAAAACATTTGCCAATCATATATTATCACTGGATGAAGGGATATAACTTTTATTAACTTAGTAAAAGTAATACGTATCGGGACATGTTTTATTGGAAGTAGTGCATTTCTGCGATTCGTGTGGTTCAGACAGGGATTACAATTTTGGTTCATCAGCATCCTTCATAATACGGTTCTAAACACGTATCTAATAATTCCTAGGATATAATATGAATATTGTTTGATGTTATTGCTACTACATTTATCAGACAATCTGAGCAAAAACATGGAGCATTTGCTATAATATGGTGTAAATTTGTAATTATAATGGAAAACTTGAATATAGTTTTTTACTATTTGTCAAATATTGTAAAAATTGATTCTCATATTTTACTTTTGTTTGAAGTATATTTAAAAACATTTCAAATGACACTGCGACTTTGCTTCAGGCGATTTTTTGACGAAAGTCTAACTCATTTACCATAAACCATCATGAAAATAATTCAATTTACTATTCTTTACTATATATTTATTCTTTACTATCACCATCACCAGCTTTTTGTCATTCACGACATCTAAAATATTTGTTTCAACATTATGGAGGACTCCTTTCGCTAGCATCAAGAACGACTCACTAATATTAGTTAATTAATAAATAATTAAAACTTAAAAAAAATAATAACAGAAACAAATTGTATAGCAAAATTATAGCATTTATGACGAAATTATTGTACTAACATCTAGAAAACGATCGTGTGTCACATCGGTCTTAAGTGTCTCTACGTGAAATTTTCATCAAAGAATTTTAAAAGTATTTTTCGTGCATTCGTATATTTTTCAGTGTTTCCTCCATCCTTCGCTAAGTTCCGCATGGCGGCGTCCAGTTCGTGCATAACATATCTCGCACATAAATCTCTCATCTTTATATGACATTATATCTACGTTTTAGCAAGCCATCTGCGTAATACCAGCTTGAAAGTGATTAATATTGCTAAATCCCCTCTAGCCACACACACATCAAAGGCAGGTCCATGATATGGAATCATTTTAAGCTAACTGTTTATAATTACAGAGATGAATGGATATTTTACTATAACAAATTAATCTATTTTTGACCAAATATGAAATTTGCCTAGTCTGAATCTATTTTTTTTTTTTTGAAAACTATTTTCTAAATAAACTACAGTAATGAGAAGAACAACTTTATTTTGTATTTCTTTGGCATTCGCAATTTTCCTGTGAATTTTATCCTAATTAATTATTATTTATGATTTTTTAATTTTCACATATCTGTCAAACGAAACAATTAAACGAAGCTAAATAATTAAACCAAATTGAAGATTATTATAAGTTGAATGTATTATACAATTGACCATAAAATAGCACAAAAAATTAGAAATTAATTTTCTATTTTCAAGCCAGAAATATGGAACTAACATTACCAATATGTTAATTTTAGCAAAATTTGCAAGAGTATAGTGATAATCAGCTATGATCTCGCAAATTCACAACAGTATCTTTAACGAGGTATTTACGATGATCCTACTTAGTCCTCTTTTACAGACGCATCAGTCGCTCGGTCTACACTGTACGGACAATTTCTTAGCAGTATAATATACAATCCAAATTTTAAATCACTTTTGTTATTTGATGTGAATATATTGTTGTTGCAAATATTTGTTCTTATCGGTGTTGGCGGTTCAACCCTTAACCTGCTCCCGCGGTTTTGTTGATGCGAAGTGCATGAGCCCTTATTTACTTGCAAGTGTTGGGGTACCTTTTCGGCGTTCCCCTCATGCAAGTTAAAATGTAAACAAAACAATTCTTGCCGTCGTTTATATTTCGTTTTGTCTTTAACTTTACAAAACTGAAGTTGCTTAATTCGCCAAAAAATCAAAACTCATTTTCTTATTATTTTCACATTATTTAAATCTCTAGATCATTTATCTGAACAAGTGCATGCATTCATAAATGTATGTGTTTGCAATGTGTAACATTTTTATCTATTCTATTTTATTCTATTTATCATTTAAAACTAAAATAGTTTCTGTAAATCTCTTTTCAGTTGCAATAATGTTGATATAATTCTCTTTTCAGAAATAGAATCACCATCAAGTATTGAATGCAATGCTAATCAATTGAGATCAATTAATGAAATCGTTCGTAATGGAAACGTCTTTGGCGGAATCAGATCTGGTGCAGTCGGAACCTCGAGGCGAAGAACATTATTCTTTAAGGTGGAACAATCATCAGAATCATATATTGAGTGCTTTCGGTGCATTACTCCAAGCAGAGACATTGGTAGACGTAACGTTAGTTTGTGCAGAAACGAGTGTACGCGCTCATAAAGTTGTTTTGAGCGCTTGTTCACCATTTTTCCAGCGAATATTTTCGGAAACACCATGCAAGCATCCGGTGATAGTGTTAAAAGACTTTTGCGGATGGGAAGTACAAGCCATAGTCGATTTTATGTACCGCGGTGAAATAAGCGTTAGGCAAGAACGGCTTCGGACACTGATAAAAGCAGGCGAGTCTCTACAAGTAAGGGGCTTAGTCGACCATCCGGCTGGGGCACCTGCGAATGTTAATTGTCCTGTTATAGACCAGGATGAAATAGACGAAGATGACAATGAGTCGTTTCCCGGCTCGCCTTCCACCAACCGATCGTTGTCGAATAGTTCTCCTTTGTTCGATCTGATTAGGCCGATGGACTTTGTTCCAGCATTACCGCGACGCAAACAGGCTCGGCCTAGGAGGCGATCGGGTGAGAGCGCCCAAGACATCCCGCAACCGGACAGCGCAAATTTACAACAGCAAGTGCAAGATCTTGCAGCCAGTGCTGCAACTGGTGAACAATATTTTTGTAGGAAAACTGATGACACCGAACCTGAGGATTTGTGTGTCAAGAAAACGCCCGATCTCAAGGATACACAAAAATCCCGCCCAAATTTAATTCAACAGAAGCAACAGCACTATAAACAAATGCATCATGGTATGAGTTTAAAAGATGTGCGGAGATCTAAATCTATGAAAAGTGAATTTGAAATTGCGGAACAACAATTAGATTTATCGCTACAGCCACCGTCTGCGTCAAATTTCACACATAACTTAATGATGCATGGTGAGAGCGGCCCACCCATTGGAGCAGGTCCAGGTATGGAGCAAGGGGACTACTCCTCGCCTCCACTCAGCTTACCTTCCATGGGCCCCGGAACTGGAGGACAGTTAGGACATTCTATTAGGAAAGACAGTTCTCCGCTGCAATTTTCGCATCTTCCGTCTGTGTCAGCCTTAACATTGACGCCACCTCACAGTAAGTTATTTTTTAGTTCTAATTATTATTTGTTTTTTTAATACCGTTGTTAGGTATAATCTGGTTTGTTGCTTGGTGTGTATTATATGTACATTGAACAAAGCCAAGTTGTATGCAGACCCAAACATACGACAATGATAAATATAAAGATGATTATTGTAAATGTTTAACAACGTTGTATTTAATTACTTTACATTACATTCGATTGAAGAATTGGTAGTAATTTAACTACTATCATAATTTTATATTTTACTGAAAAATAATTGTATTATTCAGTGTTCATTCGGTGCGAATGAGTTCCGATACTGATTTAATTAATGAATTGTATGAAACGCTTAATCGTAACTTATGTTTTTAGTAAATGAGTTATATCTTACTTAAAATTAGTAATATTTATATATATATATATATATATATATATATAAGTAAAAAATACTACATTTTACTGCTAATATCAAAGAAAACAATTTTTTAGAACGGCACTGTGCGAATTCGACACGAAGTTCATTTATTGTGCTTATTTCCATGTTTCTAATATCATTTGAAACATTCAATTTAAACATGAATTTTCACTATGAATGATTCTTCAAAAATATTACTCTTAACACAACTTCAGTGGGGGGAGAAATACATACGTTCTCGTATATATTTTGATTTATACGCGCGATATCGGGATATATATGCGCGCAGACACATGTGAATTCCGCCACGAAAATGATTTTTATTTTTATCTAATTTGCTGATCGAGTATGCTGCAGATTCTCATTTCCCGCTTTTTTCAACAAAGTTTAACATTGATGATTTAAGAAGCCGTACCTACATGTCACTTCACGTCATAATAATTTCAAATTTGTTTAGCTTTACCCATACAGTGACACGTTGCCTTATCGAATCTGTTTAATTTTACGGTTGAACAAGCTCATAAGACCGCTAAGGGGCGCCGACACATCGCACGGGACGGGACGATTCTAATGTCGTCAAAATTCTTAGAATCCAAAAACGTCGATTTACCTTTAATTCTTAAAGCTCGAAACATAGATATCTACTTTTCAACGCCATACCTTGCGATTATTCAGCGACAGCATTCTGCAGTTTACATAAGAAAAATGAATAGAATAGCATAAAATATATTTTATTGGAGTGCTAAGTACTATTTTTAAGCTGACACCATCTTTAACACGTTTAAGGAAAACAGTGTGATATATTTGTCATACAGCAGTATTGAAAGAGCTAAAAAAATATTTTAATATTTTATATTTATTTTTAAATAAAAAGCTAATATCTATTTTAAAAAATCTCTTTTTATAATTCACCTTACCATGTTCGAGGTTAGTGGACATGCCGTTTTGTAACGTTGAAAGACAGAAAAAATTACTCACAATCAGGAATATCATTTGACCAAATTACAAATTTTACAAGTTAGATGATTAGTAATAGATTTATTAAATAATTAATGTATAAAAAATATTCTATTCACAATGTTCTGGTAAATTTTCTTGAAAATGCGAATTCATACATTAAGAGAATTTACTAGAAAAACGAAGTGGGTTAGATAAACAAAGTATTTAGGTAAAGGACATATTAAAAATTAAATAATATATAAATATTATAAAAATTTACTTTCTTTATAGTATCTCAATGTTGAACATCATTCAGTTATGACACTATGTCCCTTACACACAAAAGCTTAAATGCAAGAACAACATCTGAAATGACTGAATTTACCGATAAAAATGTGCCGGAAAACGCAATTATCTGATGGATGTTTTTCTTTATATAAAATTTAAGAATGGGACAACGACAAAATCGTCTCGTTTCATGTATATGCAAGCAATTTAGGATGAAGGACGTTGCGAATCAGTTGTAAAATTCTGCGCTAAGTGTGGATAGATTCTACCCGTCCCCAAGTCCCCAGGTCTCCGCTTCCCCACGTCCTCGCATTTAATTCCTGTATGAGCTATCAGAAGACCCGCCGGTGTGAGTCGGCAGGTTTATGTTAATTTCATGTGAGCATATTGCAATGCGGACAAATATAAAAGCTCAGATAGTGACAAGCATTTCGTGGAAAACTTCTTTGATACACGCGAACCACACCACACGCATAGCGCACGCACACATTATACGTTTCATTTACATACATTTACATTTAACTTTTCGACAAAATCGAATTAATTATCTTGATTTATCTATCTATGGTAACCGACATTGCTGGATACAAACGACATTGCTACGCAAACGACATAGTTTTTATTGTTTTGCCACTTACGATATAATCCTATCACACACACACGCACGCACGAACGTATATATATAATTATATATATATATATATATATATATATATATTTGAAAAAAAAATTAGCAGCCCATTCGTCGAATTAAAAAATAATATTGTATAAGTTTTATGCTTTTATCCTGGTGATGATGACACACATCAAGTGTCGAAACGTATAACAATAAAGAAAATTATTTTTTCTTAACTTATTTTTTATTTCGACGAATGGGCTGCTGTTTTTCTTCAAATATGTCTCAGCATCGAAAAAAATTTTAAGATATATATATATATAATATATATGTATGTTGTATGTATAAGAATAGTTAATTTTAATGTTGAAATGTATATACAAAATTTTAGTGGGCATAGCGTAAAGTAAAAAAGATAAGATGAAGATTTTAAAGCATCTTTATTATTCCAGACATAAAATTCTATGTCATCATCAGTAAATATGGAAAAATATGAGACAATAAATACAACGTGCATTAGTAATAGTCCGAAAGTGTAAAATATATAATTTACTACAATTATCAACAATAAATTTTTGAATAATTTTTCTTTGATAACGCAGAGAAATCGATCCATCCAAAGCAAATTCGGACGCTCTATTTTCTCTTCGGATTCTATATTTTTTGTATTCCAAATTATTTCATTTGGAAAATTTAACAAATTCAACCAGCTTACCATTCTTATCATTAAAATAATATAAATGTTTTCATTCTATTTTTTTCTTTTTTACCCTGATGCCATCAAAAATGTTATTCCTAAATATACTTGTTAGATCTAAGCTATAATACAGTAAAGAGAGAATTTAACTCGTTCAGCTCATTTGAGTTTACTAAATAGCATTCATTCGCGTCACTATACTAAAAATCCGTAAAATTCTCTCTCAATACACTTTCAGAAAAATTCAAGTAATTTTAGGTTTAAGACAGCTGTAAAAATATCGAGAAAAATAGGGCATTTTACTGCGGATAAACGATTTTAATGCGAAGCGATTTTAATGTTTAAGGATGAAACTTTTTAATGAAGAACTTTCTAAATCTGGAGCCTGTCGTTTTACTATACGTATACATATATATATATATATATATATATATATATATTGCACTTCAATAATTTTGTCATTTAACTCAAGCATGCCAATTTATGCCATTGACAGATGACTCATTCCTCACGCAATCTGCCAATGAAGTGTCATCTGCATATGATTTGAGGTAGCAAAATGATTTTATGTTATTGTAGCGTTATAGGCATATAGGATTCAATATTTGAAGTTTCATAGTCTTGTTTATTACAGGAATAATAAGCTGAAATTTAAATTTCATGACATAAGCCAAATTGTACGTAAGGAACCTTTATTTCGTAAAATTTATTCTGCGAAATAAATTGTCTTACTTATTGCATCTATTCTCATTTAAGCTGTGAAATCATTCTAATAGTTTATTTTAATAAATTTTTAACCATTTTTTTTCTATCTGGACTATCACTGTGTACAACTTTCAGCACGTTATCGAACTTATGACAAAATAAATACGCTCATAATCAGTATAAGCACGTGTATGAAGATTTAAATTAAATGTTTATAAGCATTGTAAGCCGTTCCACCCCTCTACTGATACTTCTCTCTTAGGTTTTCTATGTTTTTTCCCTCAAGTAATCATTCATCCGCACTACTCTTTCTCCCCCATTTCACCTAATCGGTTAAGTTTACCATCTATAATAGTTCACTGTTTTACACGATTTAACCTTAAAATAAATCCGACCAGTTTCCTTTTCATTGTATATTGTATATATATATATATATATATATATATATATATACGTATAAATAATAGTTATTATTTTTCCAGAAAAGTGTCCTTTTCTAATGTTACAAGTTTAATTTTTTGAAAAAAATATTTTTTTAAGTGTTTTTGTCCTGGTGGTATGTATAATGTTTCTCTATGTATATAATTGTTTTTTTATTAGTAAAAAATTGTCTAATTTATGGTAGTTGCCGAATGATGACACGCATCTGGTGTCGTAACGTATAAATAAAAGTTCTTAAATACTTTATAACTTTTTTATTTGACGAATGGGCTGCTAGTTAAATATATTTAGGGCAGGGTGGAGCACAAAGATCCAATTTGTCTTTAAGCAATTATATTATGAAAACTTAACGAATTATATCCCAACAAATAGCACATGTCAAACAAACAACTATCTAACTATGTTCAATAAAACTGCCAAACATTTATTATTGTAGAAATGTGTTTTTTTGTTGTTTATCAAAAATTTGTCACCTGGTCCTCTTTAACCTATAGGCCATAGGGGTATCATAAGACGGTCAGAGAATAAACAGGTCCAATTTTTTTTAAATTGTAAAGAGATTTTACGAAATAATATCTATATTATTCAACCAATGCAAAATATGAATTCCATGGGTATATTTTGTACAGAGATAACACTGTATATAACCTTGATCTGATAATTTGTCAGAAATATTCAACAGGAGAGTTGAAATTACTATTTATTTAATTTATGTCTTGTAAAATTGTTTTATGGCTTAATTTATTTTTTCATTTACCTATTTTTATTGTTTACACCTTTGCCAGGATAAAGGTTGGGTTGGTCCTTTTTACCTCACCCACGTGTAAGATTTTATAAATGTTATATAAAAAACTTTAAAATGTATATTTAAAAATTATATTTAGGTTTTGTAAAAAAAACTAACAAGGAAGGTGAATACCTTCGTTATTTTCAAACTCTTCTGTTTATCTCCTG